TAAGATAACAAGACTTGATTTTTTTTCAATGTTATTCCTTATAGAATAAAATATACTATAACAATTGCATCGGGGAAAGAAGCTTTTCCAAATTAAAATTGATAAAATCTTGTATTGGATTAACAATGTCTCACGAGAAGCTAACTGGATTAGATTAGCAGTATTATCAGTTGAAAAAAAAATTATTAGGATAACTCGATTATAAGAAAATTATTAATAATTTTGCATCTAAAAAAGTTAGAAAAATGTACTTCAAATAAAAATATATAATTTTTAAAAAAAAATAAAAATTAAGGTCTATCATTAAATTTTGCTTTAGGCCACCAACAATGTTGAGTCGCCCCCTTTGGAGGCCCCTCTACCCTCTTTTTGATTTCATATCTCTATTTTCTTGGTAAACTGGCGAATTTATTTAAGTGTGAAGTAACATTACAAGCAGTACAAGTGCTAGATGCACTGATAGCAGGAGTGCTAGACGCACAAGAATTACCTAAGTCTGCTAATAACCGGCAAATACTTAACAACTAAAATAATTTTTATGCATAAAGAATACGGAGCATATGGCATAAAGAAGTATGCCATATGGAGTTGTGGAACTACTACAGTGTTTTTATGCATTTTCCCTCTATATTTTAAGTTTAGATATGTGATCGACTCGTTTACTTCTATTATGTCAAATTGAATTTAGTATCTATATATGTGTGTTGCATGTTAATAAATGATTTAAATATTTATATTTTATGAAGGAACAATAGAATTTAATTAATGAGAGAAATTTTATATATAACATTACAACAATCATCTAAATGACGAAAAATATTGTTACATTAGCACAATACGTAAATTCAAAATGAAAGGATATCATCAGAACTTACATAAATGATCAATTTTAGTGATGTTAAGTGAATAATTATGTATTACGGTATAAAGTTATCTAATGTGATAGTATCTTACCGAACACTTCTTTATATTGATATCTCTCTTGAAAGTGCAAAATATAGTTATTCATGTAAGAAAACATATTATGGTAAATATAGTTCAATATTTAGGATGTTTGTCCTTGTGCTTATTTATTATAACTACAAAACATAAACATACTGAAAATTATTTTCAAACAAATTTAAAAGGATATTCTTTAGTTTCGAAAGACAAAAGTTGAATTCGGGAATAAACACATACTTAGAAGCACATTGAGCAGTATCATAAGTTTTGCATGTATGACGTTATTGTAAAAACTTCTATATACCAAATGTGTACTATTATATGCTATTCGGTGAATCTAAGTTTTCAGTAGCATGACGGGCATATTTTTCTTCAAAATCAACCTATATGCAATGGAAGATCAATTTTAACTTAGTCTATTAGATATATGGCGACACTAACATACGTAAGAAATAATGAATTTGACAACAAACATGTATAGTACAAAGCCATTTGGTATTTAAGTATTCTTCTTGGTAGTTATTGTTGGTATCATCTTCTGCTAAGTCAGAACTGAAAAATATTTTGTTTTTACCATAAAACTTAGCAATCAACATTTTATTTAGTTAATCAACATATTCATTTCTACTAGCTAAGAAAGCTCTTTAATTTCTATCATGTAATTTGCACAAATTGCTTTTTAATCTAATGATAAAAATATTTTCCTTATTAAATGCACTACTATTACCATTGGGGTTAATAACCAAGTGTTCTAGAAGAATCAAATCATCTTTTATTGGATGCTATTCTTCGTTTCCTACACGAAGCAAGAAGTCACTGAATGTTGGATCTGTTCTTACTATTATATTTCTTGTCATTTGAATATTTTTCATTTGAAGTCATAAATATAATTTTGGCAAGCTAGCTTTTACAAATTCTGCTTTAGTTACTTTTGGTACTACTGATCGTACTTGATAGAAATCACCTCCCAAACTATTATTTTTCTACCAAACGATTCATCGATATCCATCATATCTCTAAAACTGTGAGTGATTGTTTCAATCGTATGACGCTTAACCACAAGCGCTTCATCCTATATTATCGCTTTTGCCTTCCTTATAAATTTAGCATTATTGCTCTGATTTGATATTTATGATGATTAATTCAGTTATTTGAAGAGGTATATCAAATTTGAAGTGAGTTGTACGATCTCATAATAAAATCGTTGCTCGTACACCACTTGTTCTTATTGCTAACAATATCATGCCTCTTGATCTAACATTTGCAAGTAATTCTTGACATAGAAATATTATTTCGATTCCACTGGAGACATCTACAAAGGATAATCTCACTATACCAGAGTCAATTTTTTTATAATATAGTCTTGAAAACTTATTTTTATTTAGGATTTAGCTTTAATTGTGCTTCCTCAAACACCTGTATGGCCTTCTTAATATTATATTAATCTCTTTTACTTTGTGATCTATTTTTTTTTAATCTCTAATACACTTTTTATGGAATAAATTTATGTACCCTAAGTTTTTTTTAACTTAAAAAATTATTTTACTCATATGATGATTTATTAAACAATTTAATTGAATTCTCTTGCTAAATAATTAATTGAAATATTTGATTGTTTAGTTTTAACATAAAATATAATTTATTTTCTGTTGATTTAGATTCTTAATATTAGTTCATTTCATGTTTGAATATTTAATCGTGATTATAATTTTATCCACCATAAGTTTCAAATAGTAAAAAGATCGATGACATTCTATGTTTAGATCTTTATGTTTGTAAAATCATTAGTTGTATGAATTCTTACCAATTTTTTCTTTCTTTTCTCACACATTTATATTCTTAAAAATTTTCGTAGTTGTTCTTTAATAATTGGGTATATTTTTCTATATTACACGAAAAATTGATAATAAAAAATTATTATTTGAGTAGGAAACCATTCAGATATACTATAATCAATGGCGGATGTACATGGATACTTATGGGTGCTTGAGCACTCATTACTTTTAACCGGATTTAGTAAATTTACATAGGCAATTATAAAAATAGTTACATAAATATAGAGTGAGCACCCATAACTAAACTTTTTTTTCCTCTTCTTTCGGATTTTTTATCGGCGAGCACCCATCACTTTAAAATTCTAGATCCGCCACTGACTATAATAATATATTATCTTGGAAATTTTTTCTCAATTTCAACGCTTTATGCAGTCCGTTTAGCATTACTTTTTTTTGTTAGTATTGAATATTATAGAGTGGCAATGTATTATCAATATGAAGGATTCTTATGGATTTGATTTTATTAAACCTTCCTACATATTTTAAATAAGATGTTAATAGACAAGATTGTATTAATTTTAAAATCTTAAATATTAAAAAAATTAACATAAAAGTTATTGTAGTCCAAAAAAAAGTTATTACAACTATGTTTTTTCCTATGAGTTCTTCTGTTTAATAATCGGCCTTTATAATAATATATACTATCTTGTTTCTAAAGGGATTTTGGCAATATAACCTTTTTTACTCTTTAAAAATAGAGTTTACATTGGACAAAATTGTAATTTAATCATTCTCTTAATATTTTGGATTTAGCAATCAACTAAAATTTTATTCATTAAATCTTTCCTTATTTGAACTATGTAATAAATCCTAATATTTAGGACTTTAAAGTTGATTAAGATTTTAACCTTATAAAATTACTTCCTTAACTATGTACGTAATATATAACTATAATATGTTTCACCTTAACTTGGAAAATCAAACGTGTATATATGCATGTATCTAGGTCATTATATAGCATAACTAAAGTCACAAGTCTCTCTCCTAAAGTTACAAAACTACGGAGAAAGTAATTTATGAATTGCAACATAATTATATTTCGCTAGGACGCACATCTATTTTAATATCTAATATTTATGTCCGAAAATAATTATAATAGGAGGATTCCTAAAGGTAATCATGTAAAATTCCTAATGTATAGTATTATGTCCTAAAACTAGTAGGATTACAAGGTTAATGTCTAGAATTCCGATTATGTCCTTTTATTGTGAGTTATTATGCTTAATATTAAAAGGTTATTTTTGTAATCCAACTTTTTATTCATGCTTTTATAATAATATAGATATACATATAGATATAGATAGATTATGTCAAATATTAATTACCACAATAGAAATTATGGTCCTTATTTATAGTGATAATGATAAATTTGCCTTCTCAATCATGTCTGACATCTAACGTTCTAGGGACTTTGTGCTTTAATGTAAACGTTACTTTCAATAAGTTGCATTAAGTTGATACTCATATCTTGTTTAATGGTATATAAATACGATGAACATCAATCGAATGTGTGATAAAGACTGATTAGTGGACGTAGCTCTTAAGCAGAAAAAGACAGGCAATCAAGCATAAAACCACTCAAATAATATCTATCTACAACGTGCTGAATTTAAATCCAGTAACGTGAGAAGAACTTAAATACAGCACATCAATATATTCTGGTTTTCCCTTTCCCTTTTATCAGTTCAATTCAATTCATTTACTACCTTCACTTTACGTTCAAGCATTTACCTGGTCTTGTTAAAGCTTTCTTTACATTTATGCCTACTTTAGCTTATTCCATTAATTCATAAACTTGGATTACTCATACTAAAATATAGTAACTTCCAGTCTTCTACTACTATAACCTTGTGCAAAATGCATAGTCGAGTGGAATTCCCTTCTCATCATAATCACCTAGGACAAATTCAAAGTCACTGCATAGTGATTTCAACTGCCACAGCTGCCTACTCGGCCAGATTCATGAATGTTTCCTCTCTATAAGACAGATAACAAGAACAACAAACCCAGTGTAATCCCACGAGTGGAAATTTTGCACCGTTGCCGGGATAATGAACTACAAAAAGAGAAAGGTGTCTACTTCAAATGACACTGCCCACCTATTCTAAACAAACACCATGGCGATAACATACAGATTTTAATGGGAAATGTGCTTTATGGCATCGGCAATATTGACAAAAAGGAGCCATAAGAACCCAACCTAACATTCCCAAAAGAACGGTGAAATGCCTGCTCAACCCAAACAAACACTTGATATTTTATTTTTCCTGTCAGAATAGATTACATATACCAAATTCACGGGTTTGATGATCCTAATTCCTGTTTAGCCTCCAATTTCGCTAAAATGGTTAAAGAATGAAGTGGAAAACGAAACATTGAGCACGGCCAACATTTTCATTTCTCTTCCTGTCACAACCAAATGCACCGGAGAATTATGGAGTAAGGGATGTCAGAATTGAGTTAGCAACTTTGGTTGCACTCAACATGTGACTGCAAAGGGCTCCAAAAAGGCGGCTTCCTCTTGCACTAATCATGGATCTGCTTGTGTACAACCTGCTCCTCCACAGCTAGTAGCATGAGCCAAATGCAATTAATGGCCATGATTTCTACATCAACAATACTTTCCATATCTTTCTCATATACACGACCAGAGACCATACAGCAAGCCACGCTGAAACATATAGCAAGATCACACCGGACGCTACAAAAATTCCAGACCCTGATAAACTAAAGAGAGGACAGTTACCAAGGTCAAACCACAATCAGATGAATTTCCAATAAGCATTCCCTGTTACTTTAAACATTAGCATGAGTTTAGAACACAAAAGATACCTGCTATCTCTGGTAACCAGGAGGATGGTCAATGCAATCATCTGAGTGGCTGTTTTCCACTTCCCCAAGTTATTCACAGCAACAGCCTGGGAAATTCATTACTTATTACTGCGGTTATTAAATCATGAAGTGGGTTACTCTAAAGTAAACAATAATAGGTTAATCGTGAACCTCTGAAAGTTTACCACCCTGAGAAGCTGCCCATTCTCTAACTGCAGACATAGTAATCTACAAAAAGATGTGCAAAATGAATAAAAGATCAGTGTTCATCGCTCGTCCATGATGGAGAATGAACCAAAAATCAGTTAAAAAAGATTTTAGCCGCACAAGGAAGAGCATCATATGATATATATTTATTGGAAAAGAAAGAAGAAATGAATCCTCACCATAAGTCCTACATTATTATTGCAAAACTACCATGTTAAATCTGTACCAATATATCTCAAAGAGTATCAGAATGCCATATGCTACGCAAAAATTAATAAGCTAAAATCCAAATAACAATGTCTAGGCGAATATATCTCTAGTGAACTATTAATTAGGTTCAAAAGTACCCAAAGTTTAAATTCATATTCTCAAGAGAAATTTATGTTCTATGTTGTGATGGGAATCGATGAACAATGTCTCTTAAGAGCGAAAGAAGGAGAAGACTAAATAGGGGATGGAAAATATTGTACTACAACAACTACGCCTCAGTCCCAAGCAAGTTGGGGTTGGCGTATATAAATCCTCATTCCTTTCATTTAGCTCAACTCGTCATCATTACCAAAATAAAATAAAAATACATATATATATATATATATAAACGCAGTAATAATAACAACAACAACAAAAAGGGAAGTTCGGTGCACTAAACTCTCGTTATGCACGGGTCTGGGGAAGGGCCAGACGCTAAGGGTTTATTGTATGCAGCCTTACCCTGCATTTCTGCAAAAATCGGTTTCCACGGCTAGAATCTGTGACCTCCTAGTCACATGGCAGCAACTTTACCAGTTACGCCAAGGCTCCCAACTAGTAGGTAACCTATATGGATTTTTCTCTTCCACTGTGCCCTATCTTTAGCTAAGTCTGCATTGATTCCAAGGATTTGTAGGTCTTTCTAAACAACTTCATTCTATGTGATTTTAGGTCTACCCAGTCCCCTTTTCACACCTTCATCTACCATGGTTTTACACCTACTGACCGGCGCATCTGTAGGTCAACGCATGACATGACCACACCATCTCAAGCGACCTTATCTTATTCTATCCTCCATGTGTTCTACTTGCACCTTCTGCCGTATGTGTATCATTTCTAATCTAATCTAATCTTGTGTAACCGCACATTCATCTTAGCATTCACATTTCTGCAACACTCATCTTGTGGATGTGTTGAACTTTAGCGGCCAACATTCACTACCATATACCATATCCGGTCTATAGTTGAGAACTAAATTTTCACCTTGGTCGACATCCTTCTATCACATAACACCCCGGTAACACTTCTCCATTTCAACCACACAATTTTAATCCTATGAGTAACATCTTCATCTATAATTCCATTCTCTTGAAATGACGAGCATAGATATCTAAATTGTTTACATTTTGGCACTGCAATTCCATCTAGTCTAACCTCCACTTCGCTCTTCTCCTGCTAACTAAACTTGCACTGCATGTACTCAGTCTTTACTTCTACTTATCTTAAAACCCTTAATCTTTAAGGTGTTTCTCCATAACTCAAGCTTTTGGTTGACAACCTCACTAGTTTCGTCAATTAGCATAATATCATTAGCAAATAGCATACACCATGGGACCTCATCTTGTATTTTGTTGGTTAGCCTGTCCATAACTACGGTAAATAAATAGGGGCTCAATATAGGACCCTAGTGTAAACCCATTGTTATAGGAAACTCTCTTGTATCTCCTACTACTATTTTCATGCTAGTGACAGCTCCTTCATACATGTCCTTTATGACATTTATATATTCAACATGAATTCCTTTCTTCTCCATCACCTACCAAAGGACTTACCCTGGTACTCTATCATATGCTTTCTCTAGGTCGATGAACACCATGTGAGATTTTTTTCCTTTCGCGATAAATTTTCATTACTCTTAGCAAGAATATAGCCTTCGTTGTAGCTCTACGAGGCATAAATCCAAATTGATTCTCTGTCACTCTTGTTGTGTTCCTAAGTCAACACTCTATCACTCTTTCTTAGAGTTCCATTGTATGACTTATGAGTTTAATTCCACGATAGTTCTCGCAACTTCGAATAAAAAAAAAATAGAATAGCTTTCTTATCCCAATAAGAATAAAAAAAAAAGCATAATATTTCATTAGGATAAAATAATTTTTATTTTTTCAATAAAATTAAAATTTACAATTTCATTAGGTGAAATAAGTTATTTATGAGAATTTCTAGAAGATTTTCAAGTTTTCTCCATCCGTTTTAGAAAATTAATTAGGTAATTGTGACGACCCGGCCAGTCCTCTCATGAGTTACCGCTCCGTTTTCCCCCATTTCTGCTTCTTTATGCTTCGTTATCCATGTTTTAGGTGATCGGGTTGATTAGATTGAGTTCGGAGAGGATTTGGTAAGAAATGAGACACT